AAGATGATGATTTTATTGGAGTTATAATAATGTTACCATCATGTCTGCTTACGAGAAATTTTCATCACACGTTGCAAATACAAAAAGATCTGGTTAAAAGTGCGTAGCATTGTAGGGAAGTATCAAATTTTTCCGGATAACTACTTACTTTTAGCAATGATAAATCCACCTAGGACAAAAACCAAGAGCAGAGTGAAGGTGCCAAATGTGTTTGCCACGACCTGTGTTCTTCCAAGGGCTGCAACAAATCGGAATAGACCCAATGCCATCTGATGTATACCAATATATGCCAATAACTGCATGAAGAATCTGATACAAAATAATAAACCGTTTGTATAAGGTCATTGTAGTAATAAAACTTCGTGCTGGAATCAACCAACACCATGCTGGCCGCTTGAAATCCCATTACAGCAGCTTCTTAAATGCCAAACTTGGAGGTTGAAGATCATACCTACTAGCAGATGGAGCAAATCCTATGGTGTAATATGTAAGGATGATCCAGATTGATGAATCCATCACCGAGACGGGGATTCTCAGAAGCCAAATTGGGAGAGCAAAAGCCCATGCAGGGTAGAATAGAGAGTCTCTCTGTTTAAAGAACACAGGGAGCCTGAAAATAGTCATCGCAAGCTCAGCCATTCCATTGAACATCACAGTTAGAAGACTGAAGAATAGCGCACCGTAAAATTTGCCTCCATCTTCTATCTCACCATGCTTCATCTGTGTTCTAAAGAACACGGTAAAAGTAAATACAGCCATGATTGTAATTTGAACAGTCTTGAATATGTATACAAATGAATTTCTCTTCATCAATAACCACTCCCTTGCCAAGCATGCCTTGAAGAGATCTTTGTTGGAAATTCCATACTTCTCTCTTACTAATGCTGCAGGATGTGCTTTAGTTCTGTCATATGAAACTTGAAGCTCACTGAAAAGCTTCTGTCCAATGTAGAAGGATCTAAAATGGTCAGCAAACTCTGATACTGATACATATCGGTATGGTTCATTCTTTCTGAACCAATACTGCTCCTGATCCTTCTTGGAAGTAACCTCTTGCAGAAAATCTGCAACTCCTTTCCTCTCTGGGCATTTGAAGCCAACATCCTCAAAAAACTCAAGTACATTTTCACGAGGACCGTGGTAGACAATTTGTCCTTCTGATAGCAAAATGATGTCATCAAACAAATCAAAAGTTTCAGGTGCTGGTTGGAGAAGAGATATTATCATGGTAACATCCATAATGTGAACCATCTGCCTCATGTACTTGATAATTTGAAATGTGGTAGAGCTGTCAAGACCAGTAGAGATTTCATCCATGAAAAAAACCTTTGCTGGACCAACCAACATTTCTCCTGCATTCATACAGAAGATGAATAGCTATTAGGATTGACTGCATTGAATCTCTGGGAAGTAAAAACTGGCAGTTCCTTTAACATACCAGTTGTAACGCGCTTCTTTTGTCCACCAGAAATTCCCCTTCTCATGTCATCACCTACCAATGTATCAGCACAAATATCTATTCCAAGTATCTGTATGCATCCATTGTAGGAGTTACTTCACAAGCATAATTAGTTGGGTTTATTAGCATCTTGCTGTGTTAAGGTAAAACAAACCTTCAGAACATAATCGGTGACCAAACTAGTCTTTTGTCCAGCCATTGCGGTGGATTTCATGAATGCATCAATCTCAGGGTCTGGTTTAATTCCTGCCTGTATTTCTCGTCTTGACATTTCAGCCAGAAGGTCATATCTGGTGCCAACACCTAGGCATCGCCCAGAGAAGTCCAATGTTTCTCTGACGGTCATCTCACCATGGTGAAGATCATTTTGGCTGATATAAGCACAGGTTCTCTGAGGTATAAATTCTTTCAATTCATGACCACAGTATGTGATCTTTCCACTTACCTGATACAAAAAGCAACATTAAAAGGTATTGAGGTTGATTTAGACCTTCTAGAATTAAGGCTTACATGTTTCAGAAAATGCTATTGTTAAATAGGTGAAAGTGCGTACTTGGAGATCATCCTCCAGCTTTCCTGCTAGAGCCTTCAACAATGTAGTCTTCCCTGATGCTGGAGGTCCCAAAAGTAGTGTCATCCTGAAAATGGCAAATTTAGACAGCAAAAATGTGGGATTTTTAAAGTAACGAGTTGCAATAATGACAATACATTGCAGCAATGTTATATAACACAGAGAGTACCGGGCACTCAGAACTAAGAAAATTTTCAGTAATGAACTTTCACAAATATAACTTAGTCAGATGCCAACATTCGAGTCAATATACAAGTAACTATAAACAATATAAGTACCTTGATGGTTTTACTATTCCACTTGCTTCATCAAGTATTTTGACAGCCTTCTTCTTAGATGGGAAAAGCTTGAGGACTCCAAGAAGTCCCTATTTACCGCACAGAAAAATAAGTTGCAAAAGGTATACGTCGAATCCAGAAACCATCAAATACTGAGGAGCGCAAAAGTTTAAGGAACGCAAGAAATACCTCAATTGAATTTACAGTAGAATTGAGAAGAGTTGGAAGTGCTCTACTTCCAATAAATGCATTTCCTTCAACTGATAAATTTTCATATCTAATTTCAACTTTTGGGATATCGATCCCAACCCTGTATCAACCAAAATCAAGTTTATGAGAGTTCTTATTCCATGCATATGATCTTCGGTATAAAATGGCACAAGTATAAAAGGAAGAGTTGTTGATTTATCAGCAATTCATCAGAGTGTTTGTTTCACCTGTCAGTTCGATCACGAAGCCTCATTAGGAACCTTTCATTATCTTCTTCAACAGTTTTCAGTATATTGTCCATGAGATTCTTCTTGTCGTCAATACCAAGATGAGCAACATCAACTTCTTCATGAATAACTCTTCCATTGTCCAAAACTTGTGTTAGCATTCCCTTCCTCATCCGATCATAAGTGGGAAGCCTTTCGATTGCAGCCCATTTGAGCTCCTCCTCATCATCATGTCTCCCACTTTTCTGAAAAACATCACCACCTGGCGCAGCTAACACCTCCCGAATACTTGCTGAAGCCCAACCGCTCCTGCTTGCTGATGCAATACTCCCCCGCCTACTCATGGACCTCCTCAAGTCATCCGGTGTCACTGGTGCTGCCATTTTCAACCACTAAAGAGAACTCACGAACACCTCAACGTCAGGTGCTCAGGAGTCTCACACGGAGCAGTAGATATATCAAATATCAATCACACGGAATGTTAACAACTTCAACTTTTCAAAAGTCTACTCACGAATTCAAATCTTGAAAAATGATAACTAATAATGAACAGAAAGAATGTTGAATATACAAGAAGATCTATCACTACTATATTTTCAGTTTTTACAAGGTGCTGTGTTTTTCGAGTACAGATATGAAGTGGTTGAATAGGAGTGTAGGGTCGCAGAACGTATATATATGCATGGGATGATCAGAATATGTTTGCAGAGTGCGACAAAATTGAGGATTACTGAGCTTTCAAGGGACTATATTCTAACTTTTGTCAACATAATCCTGCCTGTTCAGGTTAAAGATAAAGTCCACAAAGTATTCCTTCTTTTGTCCCATGTGTCCAGCTTCTTGAAGCGGTCGAAAAGCCTATTAGAGTACTAGTTATGGAGAGATGAGATCTTGCAGGCTTTTATATTCCGAATGCTGGCATCTATCCTTAATTATGAACTATTCTTGAATGCAAACTCGAAATCAAATAGCTAAAGGGAGACAAACAGCAGGGACTTGATCGTATGTACATCTATCTATATTACTCGAGCATATTCTCCCTCCTTTTAAGTTCGAAATTTCCAAATTAAAAAAAAAAAAAGAGTTCAAAATTTCAAAGCAACAATCACAGAGCCTCGGACATCATTCTTTTACTAATAATAGAATCTCGAATTTGAAGGTGATGTGAAGTTGTCCTGAATTAGTAACTATGTGTTAGAACTTTCCATTTATCCACTTTCCTATGCAATCATTTTCAAAGACTCTTGACTTAATCTCTGCCACCGGTGAGTTTAAATCTCTGATTCCTTGATCAGGGTTCAGCTGGAAGGCAAGTCCAGGCATTGTCAATGGACGACAGATGAATATTCCTGTGCTACCCGTCCCTTAGTCGGCCCCAAGAAACCAAGGAGGCTAGAAGTTGGCCGAAAGATGCATGGTAATCAAACTTTCTTCTACCTGCAGATTTTTGCGCAAGGTTTCTTTGCTAGAAAATTTGATCAAAGTGGATCGAATTGATCGAAGATGAAACTTATCGCTTGCATTCCCAGAATGCGGTGTGGTATGATTAGTCATCCATGATGCTGTTATTAAGTTGGCTCAAAATTGTGAAAGCAGCTTCACCATTGAGTTGAACATACATTGGATGATAAACTTAGCTTTACTTAACCATGATAGAGTTGATTCTTCATCCGTCAAAAGACAGCAACGAATTCAAAAGAAAAAAAAAATAGATTTCCTCAATTGAACATCGATCATGAGATTTTGAAAAATCAGCCCTTCAAATTTCAGGAAAAGAAAACTTAGAAATTTCAACTTCACAGCTTAAGGATCATAGGGTTCTGTAAAAAATTTGTAAAGAGGAGTAGGGGGGTTTATACAAAAAGGATGCTATAAATATTCCAAAAAAAGATTTCTTTTCCTTTGCAATTATTCCTTTTTATTCCGTTCCTGTTCATTTACATCTATCTCAATGCGCTGTCTTTCGAATCGTTGCAATTGATGTTTGATCCCGAATTGAGAGAGATATTGAGAGAGATCAAGAATTCTTTCGATTCCTCGTGGTTGATTTTCTAGTAATGGTTTTGGGAATCCCATAAAAATCCAAATAGTACATGTGTTAGAAAAATAGAGGATCTATTCTCTTTGTTTTGTCCAAAAAATTATCTTGGAGATTGTGTAATGCTTACTCTCAAACTCTTCGTTTACACAGTAGCAATATTTTTTATAACAAGTTATAAAAACGCATACAGAAGAAAGATCGGAAAAGAGATGTAGTGTGCAGAAATTATTAGAGATATTTATCAAAATAAAATAATAAGATCTAAGCACAGCATAGCATCTTCACTGATTTGCAAGACATTTTTTTTTTTGTCTAACATCTGACATGTGTGTAATAACTGACTACAATGAATTCCAAACAAGCTCTCTTTTTCTTCTTCGGTTATGTACATTAACCTGTCTAACGACAAAAAATAGTATAAATGAAGCCTGGTATCTCAATTATCTTTTCTGGAAGTTCAAAAACTTGATGGCGTAGGCAAAGACGAAGCAGAAGAGCACTACCCAACCAAGATGGACAACAGCAACAACTCCAAGAAAATCATGTTTGTATCCCAAATATTGTTTCAAGTACTCCTTCATTGGTAGTTCACCCGAGCCTGGTATTGAAACAGGTTCGGTCATGTCACCAACTTGAGATGTCACGAGCCCATATATTGTCCATGCAACAGGAGATCCCCAGTAATACCACCGCCACCATACAGGAATTTGCTGCATATATTTTCTCGAATATTAGACAAATTTTCCTTCCCATGTACAGGAACAGCCAAGAATCAAAGAATGATAAATGAGACCTTAATTAGTAGCATATTTACATCTATGAATGATAAACATCAGATAGACCAAGAGCTTAATTTCTTCTATTTCTCCCTGAAATGCTTACCGTTCTAGGGATCATAAAACCAGAGAATAAGTTCCAAAAGTTGAGGAAGAAGGACATGCCGATGGCAGCTATCTGGTAATTTGGGGTGAGTGCCACAAGCATCATCCCGTACAATCCGAAGTAGACGAAGCACATAAAGACGAAGTAATAAAACCATAAGAACTTATCAACTTGCCAGTGGAATCCAATCATCGAGTAAAGGAGGAGGCTGTAAATAAAAGTCTGCAGAGCGACATAGATAACCTCAGTGGCCACCTGCAGGCATAATGAATTGGAAATTAGTTTTCCGGGTCAGTTTTACTTTCCATTAAAAGAGAGAAATAAACTTGCTACTCGTTGTCATTGTATTACCTGAGCAAAAGCATAAGGCAGTGCTGAATACATTCCTGCTGCTTTTTCACGATAGAATACCGTTCTTTCCACTGCTACAACGGACTGGACAGCAGAAGTATTCGTTCCACCGAGAAACATAACAGCAGCATACATAGCTCCGACTAGGTTTAATAGGTCTTGCTGTTTATACCTGTTAGAGTGAGGATCCAATGTAAGATGAGCATCCAAATATTGCAAAAACAAAATAGGAATTCATTGCTCAATGTTGCCAAAACTAAGGCAGAGAGACTCACATCTTGTGCCCTTTTCTCCAAAAGATAACGCCAAATATGATACCTATAATTGTTGTCATGAAAAATCTTATAGCATTGTATTTTGGATTCCTCCAGTAGGATAATTGGTGTTTCCAGAAACAAGCCTTGCATTGGTTGAAGAATGATTGAGAATATTTAGTAGGGAAATAAAGATCCTGGGACCCAGGTGGTGGGGTGCTGAGTTGTTTGATAAGTTCTTGATTTCTCCTGAGATGGGGCAAGATGCAAGAGTACAAAATTAGGGGATAGGACAAAAAAAAATCAGGATTGATGGGATTTGATTCTCATTCTGAAGTACCTATAAACATCAGAATTAGCATAAATTTCAGCGAAGTCCACATTGAGCTGAGCCTCGACTGAGGGAGTGCTGATATCCAGCATCCATGTAGCAGGATTATATCCTCCTCTAATCTTGGTTACCCCAGGTACAGACTGCAAAAACATAGCATATGTTAATGGAAGAAAGGGTTTTTGAAATGGTTACTGTCAACTTAAGTTGATTTTTACAAATAGTGTATTTACTAGTCTCCCGTGTGCAAATATGCTACTAATGCTTTTCAAACCAATGATGTAGTTATCATAACGTAGTATTAGTAATGGGGGAATTTTGAAAGCTTTCATATATGAATCGTTTGCAGTAGTTAAAGTGAAAAAGCTACTTTTTTCTTTGTTAAATCTTGGATCAGCAAAAAAATATTTAACCAGGGAAGCGAAAAGAGCAATCTCCACTAAACTGATACCTCAAAATATTCTATCATGAGATGGGAACGTTGGCCAAGTGGTCCGCCATAGATGACTTGCCCTCCTCTCTTCATCAGCAATAGCTATACAGCAAAGATAATTCAGTTGAGAAGAAACACCTTAGATTAGGAGGGAAATTCCCTGATCATACAATAAATTATCTCTGTTACACTACCAGGTAATACCTCATCAAATGCTTCAAATATATCTATACTTGGTTGGTGAATTGTACAGACTACTGTTCGCCCCGTGTCTACGGTGTTCCTCACAGTGCGCATCACAATAGCAGCAGCTCTAGCATCGAGACCAGATGTGGGCTCATCCATAAATATTATTGATGGATTAGCCACGAGTTCTACTGCTATTGTGAGCCTCTTCCTTTGTTCAGTTGACAATCCATCTACTCCAGGAAGGCCAACTAAAGTATTCCCTAGAGAATTTAACTCAATCAAGTCCATGACTTCATCAACAAACATCTGAAAAACAAAGTGAAGATGGTTAATACTTAACATAAACTGAAATTCAAATCTACTCATTGTGCAAGGCAAGGATGATAAGATAGTGGAGGAAAAGAGCAGAGGAAAACATTTGGAGTCTATAGACGCATCCTGAGAACATTGAAAGCAAACAAAAAGAGATATTAAATCAACTTAAGAGCCAAAAGACAGCATACCTTCCTTGTTTGCTTATCTATATCTGGAGAAAGACGCAACCAGGCCGAGTACACAACAGACTCGTAGACAGTAACATGTGGAGAATGTATGTCATTCTGTTCACAGTAGCCGCTGACGCGAGCAAAAGTTGATTGGTTTTTGGGGTAACCAGAAATGCTTATACTTCCTTCAATGTATCCCCCAGTTTTTCTTCCTGCTAAAACATCCATCAGAGTGGTCTTTCCAGCACCGCTAACACCAACCAATGCTGTTAAAACACCAGGACGAAAAGCACCGCTAACATCGCGCAACAATTGGAGGCGAGTATCTTCAATTCCTTGCTTTTTCATTTCCTGATAGACAAACCATAATCTCATATCAGATTGACAATGGCAGTTCCAAATTATCAAAAGGACTTGATACTGATAGGATAATTTATGGAATGTGCCTGCATATGCCAGTTTCAAATAGTTCAACAACCTAAGCTAATGGCATATCAATGGACTATAACTAAGATAAGAAGATGGTTACTTAGATCAATAGCTAAAGTTTCACAACCACAGATTTAATTGGCCTTTCCAACTAGAGGATGACAGGGCATGAGCAAGATCCTTAGGAGTAATATGATTTTTCTCTAATTTTGCACAACAAGTAGAGGATAACATATGCCGATATGTGTTGCATAAGTTTCAGATGAGATGACTCACATCTGGCATATCAACATAATAGTTGATGTGATTGAACGCAAGTGACAAGGGCTGGAATGGTAGCACCATTCCCCTCTTCTTGTTTCCATTCTCTTCAACACTTAAGTTGCTCCGCTGCGGTGCAGGTCTTACTGCCATATCTATACCTGTAAGCATTTAAACCATAAGAAACCAAACAGAAAACCTATTGTTGTATTATATTCACTGACAGTAAGAGGGAACATATTTTACATACTGAATTCATTATCTACCAGAAAGTTAAGGTCTCAAAAGCATGTAATTAAACTTAAGGATTCAAATTTATCTATTTAAACTAAAGGATTTAGCAGAAATGTGTTGCCAAAAATTTAAAGGAAACTCAACATCATCACACGCCCAACCAACACTTGGCATGCCAGGAAAGACCCTTACACAAGCAATTTCACTTACACCAGTTATATTGTGTTTGTTTTTGGTAGGGCTAGAACAGGAACTTATTGAAGCACATCAGTTTAGCCTTAGCATGAGATACAAAGACTTAAGGCAGTCATGCATGGGCACAACAACAGTGATAGTACTCACTGTAGTGATGTTTCAAATGCAGCCTATTTGCATATCCAAATGATAATGAGCATCTTCTTAGCCCCTGTGAATGTTGAGTCTTATGTACAAGTTTGAGTTAACTAAAGAAAATTGTAATTCAAGGATTGCCGTCATTTACCATAATTAAGGACAAGAAAATGATCTTAGAATCACTACAAACTATATCCAGATGGGCAACAATTAGTTTGTTCATTCAAGAAATGTGAGTTTTGCAAAGAGCAGATGTTCATAGCAGCAGGATTTAAGAGTGAAAGTAACGGGAAAAGAGATGCTCGCTAGGATTCTGAAAGCCACGGTCTCTCCAAACTTTCCTCTGAGAAAAGCTACTCTGGATTCTAAGAAAATGATATATTTGCAGAACATGAACAGATAACTGTTTAAATTGATCCTTCCGTGATAGGAACGAGGCCTGAATGACACCATAGACATGCATGAAAATTAACAGTTCCAATAAATAAATTGACACTAGCAAAAGATGAAAACAAGTCTGATCCCAAACCTTCAAATACTGGAGCAGTAGATGCTGAGGTACTTTCTGTGGGAATTCTTAAGTTAGAGGAGTGCTTCTTTTTATCTTGTTTATCATTCACATCCGCAATAATAGATTTAGAATCCCCAAAAGCTGCGATCAGATTAAAGAGAGTTGTCAAACATCGAATTAGGGACGATGACTTCCATGTTAAACAAAAAGTCACAAACTTACGATTCAAGTAAGTCAGCGCTAGAATAAAGCAGACATTGAAGAGCAGTGAGAAGGCAAAGAGTGCAATAACACATATCCAATACATAGACTCTGTTGTATACATGCCCCTGGACTTGAGAAGAACCTTCCCCACGGTGGGTTCAAGAACATCTGTGCCATGGTATGGCTAGAAAAGAAAAAGGACTTTGAGCTAAGCAGTGACGATTACAGCTGTTTGAGAAGATAAAAATTGTTAGTAATAAACTGTCAAAAGAGCTTACGGTACTCCATCTTTTATCCAGAAACTCATTGATGACTATGGCGTTTTGTCCATACGACATAGGAGATACATAGTAGCCCCATATCATCCACGGTTTGATGTCATCTGCATGAGTGACATGGATTTTAAAATCTGTTTAATGATTAACTAAACATAAAAATTATCAAGATCCCTTAGGAAATTGATTCGAATTAGTTCAAAAACGTTCAAACTGCAATGAGCTAAAATATACTAACCTTTAGCAATGATAAAACCACCAAGAACAAAAACCATAAGCAATGTGAAGGTACCAAGAGTGTTAGCAACAACTTGCACTCTTCCAAGTGCGGCAATGAATCGAAAGAGTGACAAAGCCATCTGATGCAAAGCAAAAAAGGCCAACAATTGGCGGAAGAACCTGAGTAGTTTCAGGGTTAGATGACATATGTCAGTAACTCTTTCACGTAGTAAGCATGTAATACTGGATCTCTTATGATAAACCTAGGTATAATCAACAATATCCAGATATATGTTCAGGGTAAGGTGCAGAAAATACCTACTAGCAGCAGGAGCAAAGCCTATAGTATAATAAGTAAGAACTATCCATATCAATGATTCCATTAGTGAAAGCGGTATCCTGAGAATCCAGATTGGCATAGCAAAAGCCCATGCAGGAAAGAAAAGAGAATTCCTCTGTTTGAAGAACACGGGAAGCCTGAAAATTGTCAGAGCAAGCTCTGCTGTACCATTAAACATCACATTGACAAGGCTGAAAAATAGGGCACCATAAAATTTGCCTCCATCCTGAAGCTGACCAACCTTCATTTCTGTCCTAAAAAACACTGTAAAAGCAATGATTGACATGACAGTGATCTGAGTGGTCTTAAATATGTATAAGAAAGAGTTGCGTTTCATCAGTAGCCATTCCCTTGCTAAACATGCTTTAAGAAGTTCCATACTGGAGATACCATACTTTTCAGTGACTAATGCAGCAGGATGAGTTTTAGCTTTGTCATATGGAATAGCAATTTCATCAAAAATTTTCTGTCCAATATGGAAAGAACTGAAGCGCTCTACAAATTCAGGAACAGAAACGTAATGGTAAGGTTCGTTTTTCCTGAACCAGTATTGCTCTTGGTCCTTCATAGATGTAACCTCTTGTAAAAAGTCGGCGACCCCTTTCCTTTCTGGGCACCTAAAACCAACACTCTCAAAGAACTCTAAAACATGCTCAGTTGGACCTTGGTAGACAATCTGTCCCTCCGAAAGCAAAATGATATCATCAAAGAGATCATAAGTTTCTGGAGCAGGTTGGAGAAGTGAAATTATCATTGTCACATCCATGATATGGACCATCTGCCTCATGAACTTGACTATCTGATAAGTGGTGGAACTATCAAGACCTGTTGAGATCTCATCCATGAAAAAGACCTTGGCAGGGCCAACAAGCATTTCTCCTGCATTTAGCCAACAAACCAATTGTCATTGCACTGATGTAATGCACTAGCAAAATTTAGCATGGCTCTCAGGCACCTTGTAAATTAAGAAAAGGAAGAATTAGAGAATTGATCTTTGGACTTTGTCTGATATGATTCTACTTACCAGTAGTAAGCCGCTTTTTCTGTCCACCTGAGATGCCCCTCCTCATCTCATTACCTACCATAATATCGGCACAAATATCTAATCCAAGAATCTGTTTTATCACTTCAATCATCAGTTCATATGTTCAATTTGATTTGACTTTAGAAATTCATTATAGCATGCAAGTTAACAAACCTTAAGAACATAATCTGTGACAAGACTAGATTCTTGGCCTGCCACCGCTGTGGCTTTCATGAACGCATCTATCTCAGGGTCAGGCTTTATTCCAGCATCTTTTTCTCTCCTTGAAAGCTCTGCAAGAAGGTCAAATCTGGTTCCAACACCTAAGCATCGCCCCGAAAAGTCCAATGTCTCCCTGACAGTCAGCTCTCCATGATGCAGATCATGCTGGCTAATATAGGCACAAGTCCTTTGAGGAATAAACTCTGACATTTCATGACCACAATAAGTGATTTTTCCAGTGACCTGTCCACAATAGTTGCAGAAAACAATTGAATTGGATTACACGCCAGAAAGACATCCAAATTTTGCATAACGTGGAGCAAGAAGAATGAAAATCACAAACCCTAAGATCCTTGTCCAGGGCTCCAGCAAGGGCCTTCAGAAAAGTAGTTTTCCCAGAGCCTGGTGGTCCAAGAAGTAGTGTCATCCTAAACAAAAAAAAATTGACAAGATGACTGTAATAAGACGTATAAAACATATCATAACTGGCAATCCTAAATTTCAGATGGTATGAACCAGCCCAGTGCACAGGGTTGGAGAATTCTAATTTTTCTCATGCAACAGTTGATACAGAAACAATATAGAGACTTTTGGTCTCTGATCACTTCCATAGAAGTGCCCAAAGAGAAAAAATTCTCGTTCATAAAACTGTTTTGCCAAACTGAGAGTTAAGCATTCAGTTCAATTCCAAAGACCAACCTGGATGGCTTTACAACTCCGCTTACATCGTGAAGTATCTTCACAACCCTTTTCTTTGACGGAAAAACCCTCAATTTTTCAAGAATGCCCTATTAATTGGGAAAAAATTCAGAGAAAGATTAAGGTAAAAATAGTAATTCATATTATCACAATATGTGTCAAAACGCTGCAATGATAAAAGCACTATGTTATACTTTAGCATTTTCTCTATTCCATTAGACAATCTCACCCCGAAGGTTACTACCTACCTCAACCACATTGAATGAAGCATTTGGCAGAGTAGGAAGAGCCCTGGATCCTACATATGCATCTCCTTCAATCGACAAATGCTCATATCGTACTTCAATTTTGGGGATGTCAATACCCACCCTGTTTAACAAAAGTGAGATTCGTTTATACTAAAATGTGTGACCTAGCAGTAGGACAGACAGATAAACTATCTCCTCATGCACTTTCAAAGCATAAAAAATAACAAATTAAAAAGTATAATAACTTGAAAGTATGAAGTGCCTCACCTGTCAGTCCTGTCTCTGAGTCTTTGAAGGAACCTCTCATTATCTTCTTCCACAACTTTCAGGATACTTTCCATGAGTTGCTTCCTATCTTGCATACCAAGATTGGCAACATCAACCTCCTCTCGAACGACTGTCCCATCATCTAACACTTGCTTCAGCATCCCTTTTCTTAATCGATCATATGTCGGAAGTCTCTCAATTGCGGCCCACTTCAACTCTTCTTCATCATCTTCCCTCCTACTTCTCTGGAATACATCTCCACCAGGCCCGGCAAATACTTCCTTAACACTGGCTGAAGCCCAACTTCTTGAGCTGATTGACAAGCTCAACCTTCTACTCGTAGACCCTCTGCTGATGGACCTCGTAAGGTCATCTCTGCCGAGTGTAGCCATTTCTATCCTTTGCAAAGACTAAAACACAGAACAACTAATTCTTCCCTTCACACCAAGATCTCTTCGCACCTTGAAACCTTCAAATACCAAAATTATCTAAATATTAGTCCTAAGCTAAAACTGAAGAGGATTCAGAGACATAAAATGCAATAAACCTGTCCATATCAGCCATTCAATCGAATTGCCGAGAAAAGAAACAAAAAGAACGTAGTTGCATAGCAAGTTAATGATTAGTTTTAATAGTTACAGATTAAATCAGAATCCCAGTAAAGCGGAACTTTATTTTTCTTGGGATTGCCTGCTCTAACAGTTGAGAAACTGTCTGCACAGATGTAACTGAAGGAGACAAATGAAAAACCAGGAGGAGTTAGTTTTTATAATTCAGATCAATGAAATGACCAAAATAACTTGTGTATCAACCAAAACAGCATATGCATGTCCCAAGTAAATATCAGCATGGTTGCAGGGAAAAGTAAGGGGAAAAAAAAAACAGAAGATAATGAAAAACAATAAGCACAAGCACATAAACCAATTGCTAATGGATTTGAGTTAGGAACTCACATAAAAGTGAGAAGATGAATGAATTGAATTGTATTCGATTGAATCAACCAATGTGAAGATTCAAGAACTGCAGGGAGCCCATATTTGATAAGCTTGGTAGTTTTTGACAGCGGAGTAAACTGAATAAGGGAGTTGCAAGTGCAGAGTTCATAGTGGATAAAGATGTATATTGGAAATTATGGCGACTGGGGACCCTCTACCATGACTTAAGCTACATAAATAAGCATGGTTAGGCGGTTGGCAGAAGCAGTACTCCTACTACTCTTGCTCTTGCTATTACTGTTACTATTACTTTTACTACACAGATTCTTCTTGAATCAAATAATTGCATGCGAATAACACTCGTAAAAAGCCAAAAAGGCAAGAAAGATGGGCAGATATGTAAAGCCAAGTCAAAAACTGTGGATTATGAGGAGCAGAGCAAAACTGGTGGAAAAGACACTCCCAACGACGACAGCCAGTTTGTGTCCTTTTTTTTTTTTTTTTTCTTTGCCCGAATGGGGCGATCCAATTAGTGAGCAGTATTTAGCAGCAGAAGAGCTTCCGGACTTGTTGGGGGAACTCTGGAGGGAGGGTGGATGGCTTCAAATCTTTAGAATATGAGAATGGCCTTAAACAAAATTTCAGCTTGTAAAACCGACAAGCTCTCTTTTTCATTTTATACTCTCAAAGAATCTGCTGATGAACTGATTAAGATAATGATTTAGCAGATGAGGACAGAGTTGTACTTGCACTCTTCCTTCCTCAGATGAGGACAGAGTTGTACAGCCAACTTTTTCTTTGTGTTTACTCTTTACACGCTGCGCAGTTGACATTTGTTTCGCGTCTTTGACATTTACGGGTATTTTGTGGAAACAGGAAATTAGATGAAAAGGAATAACCGGACCTATTTTTTGATTTTCCAAGCCAGAAAATGTGTGCGAGAATTAATAATGCTATTACAGAGCAATTACTAAAATACACTGATGATAATTTATAAAGTCGTAGAAAAATTAATTGGTACTATCAGATTTCAGACGACTAGATAATTGATGAGAACAAGAAAAATGTGATCCGAAAGTAGCATCACTATTTTGACCCCAAAAAAAAAAAAAGCAGCATCACTAACATGAGCTTCTAGAGGAAGAATGGTTGAAAATTGTTTTCCTATTCTGTGCTCTCGACGCCCTTAACTTAAACGATCCTGCTAGAAATTTATATGTATGTACAAATTCTTCATGGGATTTTTGGTTTAAACCGTTTACAGAGCTCCAACCTCTACGGTCCTTTTTTTTTTTTAAATTCTTGTAGATTTTTATTTATATTTATTTGTAAGTAGATTTTTTAATTTGTAAAGTATAATTAATAAAAATTTCAAATTGTCGTTTGAATCTAAACGAATTCGAATACGCTCAAAATATATCGTATTCACGAGTATCTTTTAGTTCACATTTCGTTAGGACTTAGGATTCAAACATATATTTTAATTTTGGTAATTAGGAATAACCCCAACTTTGGAAAGGCACAATTACTTGTTTAAATTCGCACAAACTCAACTCCGTTCGAATTCAACTCAAATGTGATTCATAATTTTTTTTCATGATACCTTTTGCACAATATTATACATTTTTTGGTATTTAATTTGTCAATTCTTTACTCCTACCATGAATTACACTACTATCACTTTTCTTGCTTAGGAATTACCTTAACCATCATCCCAAAATACAAAAAAAAAAAAAAAAAAAAAAAAAGGAATTACTTAAACCATGGGTAAAATGGTAAGAATTCGGCCTTCTAGTTCTAGTACACTGGCTCCGAACCAATAACGTAAATTGGTTGGGAAAACTAGAGACACTATTCTGCTAATTCGTTTGGACCTAATTAAAAATCACATCCGCAAGAAATGCAAACTTTTTAGGTGGACAGATATTTCATCAGTGGTCCACTACCTAATTACTACTCTATTTGATAGAGTGGCCTAGAAAGATAGGAATTAAATGCTCTTTTACTGCTCTTATTTTGGAAAGGAAAAGGACTATGTGGTAAATAGTTCATTATTAATTAATTTTCTTTTCTTTTTTGGTAATTCCTTTTTGCCACTAACGTTGTGTTTGTGGCCTTACATTATTATTATTGTTTCCCCCAACTATAAGATAAGAGTATGTTTTTTGAGATTTTTTGAGAAGTGCTGATCCAAAAAAAAAAATGGGTTCTGAGTTGGAAACCCAATCCTAATGGCTAACAGTAGTATTAATTAAATGGAGGAAGATCATTCTTGATGGTGCTGAAATGGCGTCTGGTGAATTGTGATAGCGTCTGGACTCAAAAGCATTAAATGGACGGACCCGAGAAGGAGACATTTTTTATGCCCATCACTGGTTGGAGCCTTGGAGGGGTATTAAAATAAATAAATATATATATATATATATAAAAAAAAGAGCTACTAATATTAGTGATTGCAAGGTAAATTTCATTGCGAGAGATTGGTTTATTTCAAAATAGAGGGTTAAGATTGAGTTTGAGGTACAAATTATGAAAAGGGCAAACATATATTATTGTAATATTTGCACATTGTTGTATTCATTTTTTATATCTGATGTTTCAATACAATATGTTCGCTTTGGAGCTCTAGAATTTGTGATAGCACGAAAGGGTTTTGAATTATCTAGAATTTGTTTTCTTGATTTGTGGACTACTTATGTGAAGTCAAAATTCACAAAACTTTAAAAAAAATAAATAAATAACCCAAGCATATAAAAAAAAAAAAAAAAAAAAAAAAGAACCATCAAAAAGTTCGGTTTTTTAATATCTTCAACTGTTAGTTCTAAGTACTAGAAAAGATGTAAAGAGCGAGCAGCAAGCGTTTGAGAAAGAAAACGGCAAAAGGAAATGCAGTTGGGCTCATAAATGAGGATGGCGTCGAGTCTCCATCAATGAAGGTACAGCAAAGGGATGGATACAAACAGTTAACTGACCGGTAACCCAATGATTTTTGGCTTCTTGTAATTGCGGCGGCGTTGCTTGTAGAACATGAAATGAACATTAAAAATTGGGGGGGGGGGGGGGCAATATATGAAAACGGTCCAACGGTGCTTGGTGCAATAATACATGAAATTTTGACAGTAAATTTTCATACTCTTCTCAAAATCACATATATATATATATATACACGAAAAGTTGGGTTTTTGACCGGCGACGATCGGTTTGTTTGGATTGAGCATTATTTTCTCAACTTTATTTGTTTGCATCATCATTACAATTTCCAATACACCTTTTTATTTTCTCAATTACATTTTTATCTCACATACGTCACATCATCATAAAAAGTGCTACAGTAGAAATATCCCAAATAACTTACAATCCAAACAAACCCGATATTTACCCTTTTTTTTGGTGCCTAGAAATGGAAAGAGATATCTGAACGGGAAGCCGTAAAGGAAAATTACGGGTATTTTGGACTCGTAGTGAAAAGGACAATTTAAGGACATTAAAAATCCACTTACGTGTGGTTATCTTTCTCCACCGAACTTGATTTTCGATTACGGCTGCTCCTGAAATCGTCATCGTAGACGGGACCAAAAGGGTTTTAGAACCTTCTTACGTCTCGCAAAACGCAAATCTCTAATCTTGGGCTGTGGGCAACTGGGCATGGCCCACCCTCTGATTAGGGTTTAAATCGCTTGAAAATTGGTGGCTTTATTTAAAGCTACCATCCATAAAGTCAAATGACTTTACTAAATGTCGGAGAAGAGAAAAAGGCTTTGGATCAATCCCTCTCTTTTATGCACTGATGAATCCTTAAGCAGAGACCTCTGGGATCGAACTCTAGAAGCATAAATGTGACCTGTAGGCAGAGAAGGATACTCAAGTGGTAAGCATTTATCAGTTATGAAGATTGATATACATTGGCACTATGACGTGTATTCACGCCAATTTTCAGGAATTCCAAGCCGCATTTGATTTGACTTGCTCTGAAACACTGGCCTCACCTCTTTTTCAGGGGTGGTGGGGGACACGATAAACGGCTAAAGACGTCAAGATGCCGTGAAAATGGAGTCTACACTAACGATCCTTTCTCCTCTGTTAAAAGTCCTGAGAAGGAAATACGACCAATCAGGGATTCAGCAAGTTCCGTAGAAGGACGAAGTCGAGGGTCGGCAATTATGATATATTCATGCTGTCCCGGTCGTGCAAGAAAACAAACCTTGTGCTGCGGCCACATCTAATTAATTCAAATCTCCAGGTGGCATTCAGGAAATCAATCATTACGTTAATCGAACTTGCTTTGATTGAATGGATTCGCCTACCCAAACGGAAAATGTGAGGATAAAAAGATAATGCAACTGCTGACCAATCCGGAGCTTTCTCTTTCTGTTGTAAAACCAATACTCCCTCCGTCCCACTTTGATAGTCTTGTTTTTCTTTTTTCGCCTGTCCCAAATTGTAGTCCACTTTCCCATTAAGAAATGTAGTAATCTTTTAAATTGTCTAAAATACCCTTATTAAATATCTTGTTATTAATACATTATTATTAAATACTAACCCACTACATTGAATACATTGAGCTTTTCCAATACTAACCCATTAGCTGTAACTGATATAATTGGCACTCTTCGTGATTAGCATAAGGGTATTTTAGGAAATTATTAATCTAAATTTATGTTTCCAACCAAATTAATTACATTTTCTTAATCTGTGTGAAAAAAAAAAAATCAAGACTAACAAAATGGAACGGAGGGAGTAAAATAAACTGCTCAAAGTAAGGAATGAAGATAGCGAGGTAAAGACAAGAAAATAAATAATGAGAGAATGTTTTCGTTATCCGTTTCTGTTATCAAATATTCCAAAAGGTTACAAATGAGATTTACAATCATTTAAGTTGATACAAGGTTAAAGGCACATGTATTAATATTAATATAAATACATGAATTTAGTAGTTTCATAAATGAACAAACGAAAATACTCCCTCCCTTTTTTTATAACTGACGTTTAAGGTTTTGCACACCAATTAAGAAAAGTTTTTCATTGTTTAAACCTATACACTACTTTCCTTTTGTACCCTCATTAATTGTCCAATTTACTCATGTTTTCTCTCACTAGACTATTAAATGGTGCTGTTTTACTAGGCCAAAAGCAAAGAGAGAAGTAATAATTACTAGGAGTAGTAATTAAGAGCCATGTATTGGTAAAGAGAGATAAAATGGTAAAATTGTGAAAAAATAATTAATGCTGCATGGAGATAATACAACGACAGATAAAAGTACTTAAGAGCAAATTTCTTAAACGTCAGTTATAAAAAAAGGGAGAGAGTATATATCTTGACGTACCAAACATTGCAGGGATGCATGGACATCTACACTAAGTGGAAGTTCACTATATTAACGAGTAATAAGTGCCCAGTAAATATTCATTAGAAAAAATCAACATCTTTTTATATTCGTTGACCATTATTGCTTCAGGATTCTATGGGCGCGCGCCAGACCAGAATTCGGCAACAACTTTTTTTTTTTTTCCTAATCTTTGACCATGCGCCAGACCTTGGGGTGATTAAAGAGTAGGGCCGCGTGGAAGGAATTCATGCGAAGAACAAAAGCAGTCATTTTTTTTTTGTTTTTTTAGAAGGTGAAAACTTGAAATGTTTTTAATTTTTTTTTTTTGTAAACAGAGTCAACTATGTAGTAAACACAAATTCATACATCAAGATAGATCCCAGGGTAAGAATTGTTACTTCTTGTGGCGAGCTTTTCGACACGTTGCCGCAAGAGTCGCTGAGGCCCCCGATATTGTCCTGGAATCAAACCCCCATTTTTCCCATTCCACTCCTCTCTTGCTAGAAAAATTTTTTTTTTTAAAAATAGCCGCAAGAGTAGTTGGCACTCGAGATGATCTTGCAACACCTGGAGTTGTCTTAACCTCGGAGGCATGCATATAATGGAAGCTGAGATTTCACCGACTTTCCAATAAAGGGCGATCATGCCGACATACTAGTCTACGCTGACTTGGAGTTGGTGGTTTTTTTTTTTTGGGATGTTTTAAAAAATTTGTTACCATTGTAAAATAACAGATGCCATATTAAGTGGTTATTGTTAAATGTGTTAAAAAGTCGTTCATTTCTTTTTTACATCATTAAAGATCCACATATATATATATATATGTGTGTGTGTGTGTGTACGAGATATGCTATATATTGCTTCTATCTTACGGTCTTGTTTGGATAGTAATTTTTCACAGAAATTTTTTTAAAAAAATATTTTTAGTGAACACATTTTTCAATCACCTTTTTACCTCATATACATCAAATTGTTACAGTATGTTTTTCTATACAAGAATTTTCAGAAACTGTTATATGCTTGAATTTCCTGTGCTGTACCTACTGGTTCAATCGCTTTCAAAGGAATCCATAGCGAATCGGATTGTGAGAACGCAGTGCGTTCTAAATTGAGTGGTACCATTTTGACTCAGTCCCCATTTTACCAAATTAAAGCTCCAAATGTGCTAGCGAGTGATCGTATAGCAAAGGGAAACAAAGACTTCAGGGCCAAAAGAAGTCGACGCCGTCCCATCCCATGCATGCCCAGTGAGATGTGTATACTACAGAACGAATTTCTGAGGCGTAGGTTGTTGAGATTGTCAGGACGCCAAACCTGACAAAGTCTTTTTGAGCGACTTTGAAGTCAGATATTATGGGTTTCTCCGGTAGGGTTTGGAGCTGTTATAGCGACAGATTTGGGGAGAAGCTGCAGCACACTACTAATTCTACTTTTGTGGCTTAGCAACAAGCGAGATGATTTAGTCGCGACTGTCAACGTTGAAACTCTAGGATTCAGAGGCTTTGTTTTCAAGTCTCGCAATTTGTTCTGGATTCATAAATGCATGGATGAGTAGTAGTTTGAATAAGGTGTAATTTATCTGGTTGATTGTATAATTGTGGATCAAATATAGTCTTGTTAAAATACGGGAGGGTTTGAGTCACTTTTGTAATCCCTTTACCCAACCAAACTCTAGGTTGTCCACTATAAATTCTATGCTTATCCTTTTACATTTATATGCTTTTTATTATTTTGCCTCCTAGATGTGGTTTATCATCACTTTGCCCTTTCTTAAACTTTGGGGAACAAAGATGAGTCTCACTTTTCTTTGCATTTGCCTTTTGTTCCCTTTGTTTCTCTTTCTGTCCAAATAAAGTACAACACAATGCCATGATAAAGCTTCAAAGTAATCTTTCTAATGGACAAGTACAATAATGATGGGGTGCAGTAAATTAGACTTTTCTATGCAAAAAAGACTAGTAGGAAAAAAAATACCAATTTCTTTTGGAAAGATAATAATAGATAACCCATTGCAATACAAAAACTAATAAATTATGCAACATTTATTGCTTGTATCTTGGAGGCACATGTAGTTGAATATATAATTACTAGAATTTATACATGCTATAGCTCATGATCAATGCACTATTCCTAGAAAAATATTACATATCACTTGAAAGATTTTATTTAAATTGAGATATTGAGATTAAGCAGATGGATGAATTCAGTGTAAGCATGCAAAGAAGAAAAAGAAAGCAAGAAAAATGAAACTTCGTGAAAAAAGTAGTGGCATGATACACAAAAGAAGAAAGGTGAAAAAGAAAGAAGGTGTAGAAAGGAAAAAGAGTATACTAGTAGGGGCATATTTACCTAGTTACGCTCACTATTCAGAAAAATTGAGGGCTAAGTGCTATTGTACTAATAAAATTGAAGTTTGAAAATTGAAATCCGAATCCGTTAAATTATTTAATTGTTAATTATTAAATCTGATATATTTGAATGTATATCACATTAAGCGCGATGAGTGAATACGCTGCCACTTATTTTTACAAACAAGTTTTGTCTAAAAAAATTCAGTGCCAATTAATTGATCCAGATGTTCTATTTTCAGTTATAAAATGCGTCTATGAAATTTAAGTGCTGAATTGAATCGTCAAATAGCGCCTAAATTGAACTGGGAAAGTGAGACAAGCATATTAATACGGGGCGAAATAAATGTAATCAACCCTGACGCGAAAGGTAATAAAATCAAATAATGGCTCCTTAACGGAGGCGTAAAAGTATAATCAAATGGCACGCGATTAGTATCTAAGCAGTGTATGGCTTAAAATATGAATATTTCATCATGTGAAGGAACTTGATACAACTTTCTTTTTTTTTGTTCTGAATGAAAAATGTTGGTCATCTCACACCTGACAAAATCGTTCCAAAAAGAAAGGTGAAATGTACCAAAAACACACATGCCCGGCAGTCAAATTATATGACTGCACTGTTTTTATCTGGTCCACAAAGCTCATTTGTCAAGTCCTCTAGAGTTTTACTTACCACCATGCTTTTAACAAACTACTACTAGTACTACTATTTGTGATCATTGTGATGAAGGATTTGACTTCACTTCACAATAGGGGGGGGGGGGGGGAATGGACCAGAAGTGACACGGGAAGTTCGCAGGACTTCCAATTTCTACGCCCACTTGAGCGTAGCGACCAACAAAAGCGTTTACATGTCTTCAATCTCGGTGGCTATGCATTTCAAACGCCACAATTTCTTGAAAGTTTTTTTTGATATAACGGTCCAGACTTGTCACTTGTACTCGCTCCTCCAACCACCACCCAATTCATCCTTCTCCCTCCCTCCCTCCCTCCCTGATATACCCACTAACCCAAAAATAATCTATCTGTTATTTAATACAGTACTACGCATCTTTCAATTTCAGCCTTGGTTGGATTACCCCGCAATTGACTCAAAACTATCGTTCAACCATGCACCCAATTCCTCTTCATTCCCTCAAAAGTCAAACTGGGCAAAGAAGTTGACTTATTCTCAAAAGGAAAAGTAAATGAATAAATATAGAGCCATGACGTAAACTAGTCAGCCCCGTCCGTCTAGGTATAATTTCAATTAAGCTTTTCTAAATCTATACTTAAAATCTAAATACATCTTTAAGAGATTGTAAAGAACAAACACCGCTAACCTCCCAACGGTAGACTCTTGAGCATTTTAAATCAAAAATCTCACAGCCACCTGACTAACGAACTCGGTCAAAAACAATACTAGATGCTACAAAAATAAACAGCCAGGCCCAGACCGAACCAAGCAGGCCAAGAATGATTTCTCGGCCCAACTATCCTGTGACCCCATTTAGACCCACACCCTTTTTTCATTTTTTGGCCTTTTTGGATGCTACATTCCCACTGAGCCAACCCGCCGTCTCCCAGACTCTGCTCCAACTTCCTAAACACATTTGCAATTCATTTCCGGCCTCCATTGCTCCTGAAACCACTTAGTCTCCAATATTTCTAAAGGAAAAGACTAACAGGCGGATTCAGCATGAGTGCAATAATGGAGTCTTAAAAGGGGCCACACAAAAAAAAAAAAAAAACACTATTTTCTCTATTTTCCTGCGTTTTCTTTTAAACAATTCAAAGTTCTTGTAGAAATCCGCGTATGACGTCATAATACAGAATGTACATCCCCAATCAGAATCTATACAAAATTACAACAATGATACTACTGTCAAAGGTTGAACCACCTCCAAGGCACTCTCAAAAAGGCCGCCATGGGTACTCTCAGCAATTTGAGCTCAGGTCTCCGGAAACAAATCCAGTAACCCGACTGGGAGACGGAGATCAGCGTTATCTGTCGATTCCGCAATTTGAGCCAATTCAGCAATTTTAAGTGCCATGGCAGCTTTGTAAGATGCCAAATCAGCATTTTCCATGAGCTGCTGAGCTCTTTGACGCTTAAGAACCGCCAACCCTTCTGACCTGTCTGCTGCAGCTTTGGCTTCTTCCACCTTCAAAACGGCATTTTGTTGTTCCTCAGCATCTTGCTCAGCCGCCATTACTGCCAGAATCAAATTCAAAAACTCTTCAAGTCTGAATTTAAAAACTGACTTTCTTTCATGTTACAAAGCTTAAAGGGGATGCTTTTGACATCCAATTAACTCCCCCTTTGCAATAAAGATTTCATCCAACCCGTCAATTAAGCAGAACTACAAATTCAAAGATATGAAGCCAGCAAAACACTAGACAAGCTAGAATTACTTCAGGAGATAAAAATTAATTTAGCTTTGTCCTCAATTAAACGCCTTAACTAGACTATACAACAAAATTGAAATGCTATCCAGGAACAACTTAAAATTAATGATGGCACGAGGACAAAGAGACCCTAAGTACAGACATTCAAGGCTGCCATGCAACTCACCTGGAGCATCTCATCTTAACCTCCAGACCCTCAAAAGGACATGCCTAATTGACTCCAAATGTAGACAGACAACTTAAAACAATCAACAATGTTGCAAACTCAAGGTATTGCACACACACAACTCTCTGCCACTGACAAAACTCTCTAAAAGATAATAAACACAGAAAATCACAAGTCCAAAATCTTAACTTATTGGGTTTTAAAGATTTTACACCTTTAAGAAAAGGACGCTGTTTGCCTCTTCCAATTTGGCTTCCCTGTCGTTTGAATGTCCTTTTCTTGCGGAGGACAGAATTTGGTATCATTTGGGTTCTCCTTGGCTGATACAACTGCAAAGACAGAATTAGGAAATGCTACAAAACTTAACAAAATGATGCATAAAGTTTCTAAAGATGAAGAGAAATGCTACAAAAACATCTTACTAAATATTTTGCTAGCCATCATCATACATGTAGAAGTTACTTTTCCACTGAAAGTTGATGATAAAACCAAAATGACAACTTCCGACATACAATTCCACATTCTAATATCATATGAAAATGATATAAATAGTTTGACTACATGCTTTTATCAAAGCCTCTAATCATACCTGAAAAATCCTGATCAAGGATGCGCGTCTCTGCTTCCGTTTATTAACCCAGAAGCTGTGCACAGCCTCTAAAACACTCCTTTCCACATTCAGGCATATGTTAGGAATTGTTGTTTCATCAGAGAAATCATCTGGATTGCTGTGAAAACCTCTCTCAAAAGCATCAATTACCAACTCAAACTCCTCTGCAGACAAAAGTTTATGAAACTCATTCTTATTTAGCCACTGCTCATCATCAGAGTCCATATCATAGTTTGCTGTTCTCCTTGCTAACGCCCTACTCAGTTCATCATCTTTTACACTTATATATGTAGCAGGCCTTACATAATTGCCGCTGTTCACATAACCAGACACTTCATGCACCCCAGGAACAGGAATGAAACTCTCCACAGGAACCCGTGCATTGCGATCTGAACACTTCTTGTACAGGTCTCTGAAAATCGACCAGTTCTGCTTATCAGTGAACTCTAGCTTCCAACCACTATCCATACCCCACATCATGGCATGAGTGAAGCGATTACAATTACATGCTCTCATAAGACTTTGAGTGATGATACTGTACCTCTTCACTCCATCTCTCTTTATTGCAAGATGCCACTGTTTTTCAGCAGAAACTTCTAATGTGACAATAGCTCCTCCTTCCCTATAACACTTGTCAGAGTCTATAACCAGTATATTTGCAAAACAGCTAGTGGGATCAATATCCTGTTTCAATCCCCCCAGGGAAGACTTGACTTGTTTGATATTTGTGACAGAATGCCTGACAGTCGAACTCCTAAGCTCATGTCTCGGTGTTATTGGGGAAAGTTGATTGCTATTATGTCTAAAGCTAAGTAGATTAGAAGCCAAAGCTCCATTAGCTTTTCGGGCACCAAAAGAGGAAGGCCGTCTGCCCCTCTTTGATCTAAATGAACTTCTCTGAATGTTACGACCATTCCTCAGTTGCAGGTTTCGACCAGTTAATTTAGTAGGAGCAACATTTGACACTGACACTGACACCTCCGTCTTCCCAGAGTAATCAGAAGTTTGGACGCTTTCAGTAAGCATGGACAGTTTTGATAAATTATCATTTTTATCATCTATACCCACTAACCATCGTTCAACAGAATACATCAGATGAGCAAAATGGAGTAGCATTCTTGAATGCAAATACATAAAACAATGAGGAACTGCAGAATAATCCACAGCAAAAACCGGTACCAAACAACTGGTACCCCATATCACGCAAACTCCACGCTCGGCAACTACATTAGAGCCCTGAGAAAATGAAAAGGGTAAAGAAATTCTGAGATTTGCAGCAAGAACGAATTTAGCCAAATCAAGTACCTGAGAAACGGCAAAACAGGAAATACTACATTACCTGCAGAAAATGGATGCCACAAGAAGAGTATACAAGCGCAATTGCCTTGGAGTGAAGGAATGCAAATAGCTGCTGGATACCAACTCTTGCCTGCCTCATATACCTCAAAATAGAATTCAGAAAAGATGCAGCCATATACCAGCTACAACAGGAAGAGTCAAAAACTACCAAAAGGAAATGACATCTGGCATTATCTAGTGATTCTTCTAGTGCCATCAAAGCCATATTTGAATCACCTGGTTCAGCCAACTCCGTCTGTATGTTTTTCTTCCTCCACTGCTTTCTAAAAAACTGCCTCCCATACCTCTTGTCATCTATGCTCCTTTTCTTATTACCATTATCTGAAGATTCAACAAGACTAGAATCTACACACTTCCGCTTTCTTGTATATACAACTCCCCACCTCTTGCCAACATGGTTCTCTGCATCCAAACCCTCATGCAAAACTTTCTCTGGAGCAGATTTCACTACTTTTACGTCAACATCCATTCCCCTGACTTCCTGCTTAGCAGCAGCCTCGTTTCCATGCCTGCCACGTTCTTTGCGTTGATTGGCACCACCTCCACCATCCCCAGAATTTTCAAGAAGCTCAATCCACTCGTCCCCATTGGCACTCTTCGTGTACTTCCCATCTCCTGTCCCTGTCCCTGTCCATAGACGCCTTCCTGATCTCAACACCCTCGCTCCGAAAACCCTGGTAGTCCTTCTCATTCCCACAGAAGGCATCGGAACGTTATTTTTACAAGGCAAAACTGAATCAATCTTCTCTCTGTACCAATTCAATGATACTTTGATCAAAATTGGCCAAAACCAAAACACTGAGCACTTCAAAGACCAAAAACCTGCCTCAGTATTCTATCCCACCCAACTAAACTTGACATCCAGGATAGAATTTCAGAGTGTCACAAAGTTCAAATCTTGATACAGTCTAGGCGCATGCTAAATCTTGATATTCCAAAACCAAAACCCAACCAAGGTTTATCTTTGAACTGAAAACTAAGCAATTTCTCCACTCCAATCCAGTTTTCCAAACTCAAATTAATCATTGACCCACTCACTCCTCACTCAGTCTGAATAGGCCCACACAACTTTTAGCAGTCATAAAATCAAGAATCCGCAAAATCCAGTCATCCTAACTAAGGTCAGTCCGCAACCCCAGCCCCAACTCAGTCACGGACTCATACGACCCAGATCAATCGTCAAAGCTACCCCGTAGTATAAGAAGGGTGGGGGGGGAACCCGTAAACCCGTTCAATTAATGCTCTTCCCCAGCCAAACTCGGTCAAGAACCCCCAAGACTCGGTTACAAACCCGGTCTAACTCGTCCCAAACACCAAGATACTTCACTGCATGAGGGTCTTCACCACCGCCAAAAACCACACAAAACCCAGATATAATATCATCTAATCTACAGAAACGGCTCAAAAGATAGAAACTTTATCCTCACCAACAAATATAAATTAGAGAAACCAGTAAATATTACCCGGAAATAAGAGAGTCGAAAAGTAAGTGAAACTCTTTTCAATCCGCCATCTGTTAAAGATCTACAGAAGTCTAAAGATCTGAACTTTTGATAATTTTTTCCTCTTATTTAGGGGAAAAAACGGATGTCTCTTCTGTTCAGATTGAGTTGCAGGGTGAGGGGTAGAGCTGTGGCGGAGGCGGAGGAGGAGGAGAGTTGGGGCGTGAAAGTTTCTAGGGTTTATCAAAATAAACCACTGAAAGAGAAGTGTAACTACTAGCAGGCAAGTGTGGACCGTTGGATTAAAAAATCAGGCGGTTAAGATTTTAGTGATGACGCCCCAGAAAAAGGTCGGATGGACCCAGGTATCGGTGGACGTTTCAGCTTCTCCCTCTTCTTCTTTTTCTTTCATACATAGAGAAACAAAAAGACCAACAAGTGCTGATATTTTAGGATTCAATACTTTCTTTGGCCTATACATATATATATAACAAAATGACCAAATTGTCCTGACGCGCCAAATGATATTTGGCATTAAACCTTTAAGTGGTTGAGGAGATTAGAGTCTTCTTATGGAAGGGAAACCGATGTTTTCTTTTATTTTATTTTTAAATTGGTCGTGCCCAATCTAAAAATGAAAAATGAAAAACGAAAAAAAAAAAGAGCAGAGAGAGAGAGAGAGAGAGAGAGAGAGAGAGACGGGGCGGGCGGGCGGGAGGGAGGGAGAGCGCGCAATCGGTTACGGAGTCAGTAGTGGAAAAGGCGGCAACAGTTTCTCCGCCTAAATAGGATATTTTAAAATATTTTTTCAGCCAAAAGGATAGAGTTGGCGAAAATTCATGGTATTGGTTCTTTTCTTGAAATGAATTAAAATCTACACCGGGGAGGGGAGGAACATTATCCGGGAATTCAGGATCACGAAATAAAACACAAAATAATCAAAATGCAAAGGCATACCCAACGTAGACAAGAAAGGAAATTTTTTTGCAAAAAAATAAAAGTAATTTACGAAAAATTTGGAAAAGGTTTATACTACTATTTTCGATCTATGTCGTATACACTTACTTTCATCATTCGAATACCTCTTGGAATTGTTTATTTATTCTTTTAAAAAAAATTAGAACTCGAACTCCACTTAACAGTATTCTAAATCATGACCTAACTAAAAATTTTACCCGTGCATTAGCAAGGGTCTTTTTTCTTATTTATTGCGAATTTATATAAATATAAATAATTTAAATACAAAAATTAACAACAATCCTGCACATTCATCTATATTAACTTTAAAAAATTAATGTATTTTAAACGTTCAACTATTTACTAATTTCCAAAAATTTGTTTACATATTTTCTCTATAATATGATAGTATATATCAAATCATGTACCCCATATAAAAAACTTGGCAGATATTCTTTTTTACAAATATTTTTTTAGATAATTTAAATTGTTATAATGATCATAAATTTAAAACTATACATTCATATTTAATTAAGTAGAAAAAAATCCAGTAATTCATTTTTCTTCATCTATAAATATTCAATTTCCAACAATATTCGTAAATCTATCGATGATTCTCTTTTTCCAACAATTAGTTACTTCTCTTTTTAATTAAGTTAATTCAAAATTCAGGAAAGAAATGATGAACAATTTGAATACTAATCAATAATATGATGATGAAAAGAAGTAATTTGGAATAGGAAATAATTTGGGATATGTAAGATTTTAATAATTGTGTTTAAAAAAGGTTTTACTATAGTTCTGTATGTAATAATTTGACAGAAAATAGAATCATCAAGATAAGATTAGTCGGTTGTAAAAGCAATATTATTAAGATAAGATTAGTTATATTAAAATTAAAGATAATTTTTAAACATATAATATAATCTAAATAGGCTATCATATAATCCAAATAGGATTTAATATGCGTAAAACCTAAGTGATCCATAACCCGTTAGTTCTTTTCAATTAGATATGCCACATATAGGAGTGAGCTACTTTTATTATGCAACATTAAATTAATTTGCCAGAAGTAAACCTACCCCAAAAATATGTGTGTGTGTGTGTGTGTGAGGAAGTTCTACCACTGACTGCCATTCACAAATCATAATGCACAGAATAGTGTATGCATTAACACAATATATATAGCCACCAAAATAACAAATGTAAATATTATAACAACAACAACTTACAAAAACACAACAAATCAAGTTGAATTCTGGTCTACAGTTCATCCCATTCATCCAACTTCATAGATCAAATCAATTCCTACCACTAATACACTTCACAAATGTGAGCGTAGAGGGCCAAAGAAAGGTGAAGCTACAAAATTTCCAATTATCTTTTTACTTCACATACATCAAATCCCTATAATATATTTTTTTCCAAAAACACTCCGAACAAATAGCATGCGAGTACAATATGAAAATGGTAAACTTTTAACGGTTATTGGCCAGGTTAAAAGAATGCAACACAGTGGAGTTACTAAGCTCGTCGGCTTGCCATTCCGTTTTATTTAGAACATCAAATAAGTGAATTGTAAGAGAAGACAGGTCTATCCGAATGTTACGAAATCTAAAGGGACATCCAAGAGAAGACAGGCTTGTATTTATTGTCCCCCTTAGATTTATTTTCACTACTCCAAACAACATACTTTGCGTTCTTCTCAACCAATGCCATATTTACATTTTGAATAATTTGTATGCCAAAAAAAAAAAAATTATCTACATAAAAGACAATTCTTAAGAACTTGCATGCTCTCCAGATTAAACTTTAGCAAAAAGACCAGTAAAAATGCGAAAGTAATTTCAAACAAAGAAAGTGAAATATGAACATTTACCATTGCTTCGGCAGGTATTGCTACTGCAATATACATATAGATCCCACTTCTTAAGAGGAACAACAGTCAATAGTTAAATTTAGATCATGAATGCCTTACCTTTTGCTCACCATTTCCAATTACATTCTTCAGTCAAAATAACCGAACATGCTAACCTTTTGAGCAAACCCCGCCATGGACTTGGCTGGCATGCAACGTCAAATTTTATATGTATAAGGTTAACCAATACGAGAATACCTACCAAAAGAGAAAGTCAACCATGAAATATGATCTATCCCAATAAAAAAAAAAAAGGAAAAAAAGGTCTACAGTCAAATGAAATAATACTCAATTAGCCAGGCAGAACCTTATACAGGACTTTGAGAATCTTACGACTCTGTAATTCTTCTTCAAAGGAGCATGATACCATGATCGCAATCTGGCCTCAGATATGCTGCTACTCTGAACATACATCTTCAGACCTCTCAAGAACCTGCTTCAAGAACCAAGGAAATGACTTACAACATGAATCCCATAAAATCTTGCATGCTATTAAGCACTTAAATAAACAAACTATGGCTTGCTTCAGAAGGCTGTAATCTTTTGTCTTTTTATGATAGTCATCCTCCTACTATGAGCGCTAGGAGAAAATTTTCGAGCATGATCCCAATTTAAACTGCATTTTTCATCCCAACATACTGTGCACTAGTCAATCTCCTTTTAGCATGTAATAAAGGTCAACAGACACACTCAAGGAATCCAAGAACTAAATTAATCACGCATTTAGAATATTAACACAATGGAAACAAATAACGTAAGAACTCAAGTTTTGACTTATAAAAAACTCTCCATACCTTAAGTAAGGCGCATAACTTTGAGGCATTGTTATTTACTCCCAGAAAAAGACTTCTCCATCCAGTTTTTTCACCCAGATCCTGCATTGACATTGAAAAGATCATGCCAACAAGCAGCTTAGGAACAGCCTCCTTAAAAAAAGTATTTGAGTTCTTTAATGCTATAAATCAAGCAGCTAGCATTCCCTCTATCATAGAAGGAAGACAATTATAAGTACTGCAAGTGGGGAATAACAACTAGGGGAACATTATCAGAATGTTTAAACATCTTTTGCTTCCTGAATCACTGAGAACTTAAATGACTTTGCGCTACCAACTGTATGCAGGATTAGACAAATTGACTGCATACTAAAGTTAAACTTTAAGTAGAGCTACCTGACGAGGAAAACGAGCCAAGAACTTGTCGACAGATTCATGCACACAAAATATAAATACTTGCTAAATTCAAAATAGTCCAAGGCCTATGAACATATAAACTCAAAAGTTTGTATTTCAAAGTCAAAAAGTGGACTTTGAACAGAAATTCAAAGAGTGAGCCTTACAACTAAATGCTTATTTGTATCTAGTTAATGTACCTTTTGCATTTTTTACTATCACAGTTACAATTTGGTCCTCATCATTTCATTTCCCGGACAGAGGATGGTCAAACATGCTACTGTTATGACGTCTGTCCTGTCTTACTAGGAACCTTTTCTCTTTTCCACTACAAGGGGCAATGTGAAAAAGACATGCAATTTTTATACAAAAAGTAGCATTAGAAGTTCAGCGTTAGACACTAAGCAAACAAATCAGAGAAGGCCAGACTAAGGAATTTTAATAGCTATATGTAGACATTCCTGTGGTTAATATCTGATTATAATTCCTTTCCTAACTAGACCTAGTACATTGAGTGATGAAGTGCCACACAGTAGTAGAAAAAGATTGACACTGAAAGAAGCACGCAGATTTGTCAAATATTTTCTTTGACAATGAATAAGTGAAATATTTAATAAGAGGAAGCACTATTTTCCATTCTCTAGTCTGTACCTTTGTTTTTTCGGGGGTTTCCAATTGGGATGCCCACCTTTTAGGCACAGGTAGTCTCTGGCAAGAGCAGTCATCTAACAGCATTTTGTGGGTGTTGATTGTGCCCCTTTACCAGGTTTATGCATGTCATCAATTCCCCTGCATCTATAGTTGAAACCTAGATATGGAGAAGGTCTTCATCTGAAAAATATGAACAATGAAACTAGAAACATCACAAAAGGGATGTAATTATAACCTGAGTTGTCAGCATGTCAATATGTGAATTTTCGGAGCTAATATCAGAAATAACATAATTAGACTGTCAATGCTACCAAAAGCAAATATTCCTTGTTCTATTGAGTATAATAGCTATAATATTTAATAAATACTTAATCGCACAGTCCTCATCATAGCATCAAAAGCAATTCAACAGATGAACTTCTGAGGAACAGTACTTTTATTTGTTCACCACTTATAATAATGGCATTTTCAAACCTCATTATACTTTTCTGCAATTCAGGAAATATGATCTCTCCCAGCAACAAAAAATGAGATAATACACACTGAAAGACAAACACACATGCATAACTGAAGTAACTAAAAGACAATTTTAAGTCCAGTAATTGTCCTTTTAATAAAATCTATAATGACCACAGATATGGGTGCACCTGAGCAAGATATATTCATCGCATGAATCTTTTCAAAGTTAAGGTCACAAATAAAGTCTTCAGATGAGAAAATACAGCCAAAGGATGAAACAGCAAGGTTCCCTACTAGGGATACCAGCATTTCTCAATAGATAATAGGGGTCAGAAGTTATAGCTATCATAAAGTAAACAATCTGTGGATGTTAAAAAGCAAGTCAAAATGCAGATGCCAACAATTAATGGCAAAAGAAAAACTGAAAAGTAAAATCATGTATCTATTAGAAGGGTCTGGATTTGTCAGATGCTAAACGTGATAA